GCTGCTGAAAGCAGGTTTCTGGCCTTTGTTTACCTTCTGTATTTGATACAATGTTGCGGTCCGGCTGGCTGAAGCCTGGCTGACTAAAGCAGGTTTCTGGGGTTTTGTTTAGCTTCTATATTTGCAACATAGTTGCTTAGAGTTGCAGCTGAGAGGCCGGCAAGTCAGGCGGGGAACGTTGGAGTCCACCGTCACTGGAGCAAGCAAGCCTCCCTGTTCGCTTCAGTGCATGGCTGCCGGCCGCCATCTTGGCTGGCAGTTAATTTGCATATCGCCCTGATTAGCCAATGGGCAGGGTAGTGGATGTATGGCTAATTACCATGTTTCTCTTTTATTAGATAGGATATATATACACACACATATATATATATATATACACACACACATATAATCAGCTGTGATCCAGGCTGGAAGTGGCAAGGAAGGCTTCTTGCCCAAGGGACATGTAGTCATTTACACAGCAAAGAGGAGCAAGGCTTTCCCCTAGAATCCAGGTCTCCAAAGGGCAGCACGTTCAGAAAATGATTTTTAAACATTTTCTTATCCCCCACTGATGATAAAGGTTAACAATGAATTAGTGGTTAGGGATCTGTTTTATTTTCTCTTGTGCTTGTATTGTCATTTGGGTTAGGGAACAAAGCTACCATTTGAGATCTCATAAGTTTTGATCCTTCTCTTCCTGAACCTGTATTTCCTATTAACTGACCTTAGGAGAGTTATTTTACTATATATCTTTAATATCTAATTCAATTTTATTTAAGACATACTGTGTTGTATACTGGGGATGGATTGGAGGGGCCTGGTGGTATGTGAAGTGGGAAGAAAAGTGGCCACATTCTTGAGGCCTTGAATGGTAAGCTAAAGAACTTGATCTTCACATATGTCGTTTTCATGTTCACGTACATCATTTCCATCTGTCTTTATTTCCCTAGGATTGTGGTGGCCTCCTGTCTGAAGGAGATAACCAAGGCTGCTACCCTTTGGATGGACACATCCTCTGCAAGACCTGCAACTCTGCCCGTATCAGAGTGTTGACCGCCAAGGCTAGCACCGACCTTTAAGTTCAGTGGCCTGTTCAGCTGGTTAGTTGGTGGTACTGAGAAGAATAAAACACCAAAAAAAAAAAAAGAAGAAGAAGAAGAAGAATACTAAGAAAAGCAATAGGAAAATAGAAGAAAGGCATTCAAGCTATAGGATGGTCTCTTTTCTTCATGTAGTAGGAACCTTTCTGTAGAAACACATAGATTATAAGATTTTTTTTAAAAACGTTCTTACCAACTACACATTTCACATTTAGTTATGTAGGACCTTGATGGGCCTTTGTTCCCAAGGACTTCCACATTTTTGCACGGATTATGCTCCATCCCATTCATTTCTGCATTCCTGTACACTTTAATCCCTCTGTTTGTCTCACTTTTCATCTGGTTGAATGGCTTTTTTTAGTGTGGTATTTGCTGTCACACAGATTTTCCTGGGTGAGTCTGCCCACTCACAGGTGCTTTTAGGCTTGAAGTCTCTCCATCCTATCATGTCCACGTTGCCTCTGATCATAAATGATAGTTGTTCTCTTTGTGTATCGAAAAGCATATCTTTCTGTTGCTCTAAATGGTCATGTCCCTTGGCAGGGGAGGGAGGGAAATATACAACTTATATGTTAGACTGTAAAGAATTTAAGCTGTAAATTAGGTAGGTTAAAACAAGCCCACGTTTGTAACCATCCAAATCCAAATCTATAGTGACCAGTTGTCAAGGCTCATTTCAAAACAGATATTAGTAAAAGAGGTCCAAACTTCAATGTTTTTCTAAAGAAATTACAGGTAGAATATGCTGGAAAAAACATTTGGGGTTAAGTTTGAAAAGCCCATTATTATCCCACAATATCATCTGAAGATTCCCCTTTGCTGCCTAGACACATTACAGACAAACTTGTTTGTCTCTAGAATATAACATTTTCTGTACTGTCCTACTTTTTATATCAGAAATCTTGATTTTTTTTCTAATATTCAAACATGACTATCAAAATTGATTTTTTTTCTCTAGTGAAAGATAGCTTTAAAGAGCTGTTCAATCCCCTGCTCCCCAGGCCCAGATCCTTTTGCCTGGTAATTGCTAATCAGGGCACACAAAATAAAATTGTGTAGTTTTGTCTAGTTTACTTTAAAAAGGCAGGAAAACTTGAAGAGTGTGAAACCACAGTTTCATTATTCTCTTAATTCTTCTGCAACTGAAATTACATATCATAGGAGACTTTTGATGTGACATTTCACCACACTTTCAAAGACAATCACTGAAAAAACATAGTTGCCTTTCTGTGCTAAAAATATGCAGAATCTCTGCCTGGAATCTTTATTCAAACTCTGCTGGGCAGGGAAATGCTTGCTTGCCGACTGTGGAACCATACTTCATTAGGTTTTAACTTGTTTCTTTCATGAAGAGACACCTATCTTAATAACGGCAGGTTGCCGTCTTTAAAACTGATTAATATTTTGGATTGAGATTTCTTAAACCTTTCTTCAAATCTTCCACAAGTATATACTTTTAAATTATGAAGTATTTTAAATATACACAAAAGTATAAATAATAATATAATGAGTCCCTGTATATGTAACACCTAGTTTAAGAAATCAAATATAACAAATATAGTTACATTCCCCTGTGTATCCTTCCCTGATTCCACAAATACATTTTTCATGATTTTAAAGTGATAGAGTCAGTTTTTCAGTCTGATTTTTTTTGAACACGTAGAACAGAAATGAAAAAAAAAAAAATTCTGCATGTTTTAAATCGCAACCCATGCCTCAGGAATTCCAATTAAATATATTTTACTTTAGTAAGAATAATCATAAAAATGGTTCTTTTTTTCTTTCTTTTCTTTTTTTTTTAAATAAGAAATTCTTAAGCCTGTGGTCACTGTAGTTCATTCAAGTTGATTTGTGGCTCTTTCGCTTTGGTCACCAAACAGTTTTGTTTTAGAACCTCCAACATTATATCTTTTTAAAGTTGTTTTTGACCACTGTCCTCTCCTTACCTTACTCCTTTTATCTTTGATCTTAAACTTCTCATAATGTGAACTACAATGGGATTCACTTTGAGTAGCATGGAGACAATAGCGATTGTATCTCTGAATTTCTGTCTTCCAAATGAAAGCCCAGACCATGCTGCTGACCTCAAAGAGCACTGACTGTTAGACAATCGGGGTGATAATATAATCTGTTTGAATTGCTTCAGTAACTTTGTTTTCTATGATATGCTTGGGAAAAACTGTCTTTAGACCCAAAGCAAAGAGCCCAATTTATTAAGAAATGGATTTTATCTCTTGAATAGCAGTCATATTATTATACATTTTGCCAAAAAAGGAAGAATTTATGAAATATTTATACTATGAATTGCAATAACATTCTACTTGTTTGTTACATTGAAGTCCTTATGTAACTGAATGTTTACAAGCAACAAAGGAAAAAAAGTTATAAGAAAATACTGTCACAGACCCATCACTGTGGCTGTGCCAGGATACTGCTTGCTTGCAATCTTTATAGTGCGTTTTTATCACATAACCTCAGAGTATCTTTACCAAAGATTTTTAAAAAGTAAATCTTTTTTAATATAGACTTATTATACTTTTATATAATAATGAATGTGCACACACACTTAAACAGAAATATTTAGATTTCTTTTTCTTTCACAAGGTATAATAAGGAAAGGATCCTACAATATTTTATTCCAGGATTTCTTAAATATATGATTTATATTGCTTTCTTATCTTTTCTGTTAATCTTTTAGTTTAAACAATGCCAAATCACTCCTTACTGTTTTAGTTACATGAAATGTTGCCTATCACAGAGATTTAAAGATCATATTACCTTAATGATTATAGTTCTATTGTCTTTTGATATATTGTCTTAATTGTTGACATTTAAATTCAAAATAATAGAAAAATATCATGGAGTCTATAAGAGAAAGTTGGTAAAAATATAGTGGTTTTAAAAATTTGTCAAGAACACAAATATTTGGTAATTCTATGTAACATGAGAGACATGGAAGAAGGGGAAAAAAACCCACTCTGTCATGGGCTGTGCACATCATTTTAAAACCAGATTTCTTCATTGCCTTGATTTCCAGCTCCTGCTGACTCAATGTGGAAGTACCATATGCAAACAAAATTGCCTTTAAAATGTAAAAAGAAGTCATTGTTCCAGCATAAGGCAACAAGGCTTTGAGATGCTGGAAATCTCTGCAGCTCAAAGATGTGGGTTCTTTTTCTTCTCATTAACAAATTGTTTCTGTTGGAGCAACTTCTCTGATCAAAATTACTGCATTGTGGATATGCTGATTAATGCAGTGGAGTTATCAACACTGTAACTGTGTTCTCACTATGAAAGATCCTTCAGAGACGCTTACGGTGATGCTTAAAGTATATAGAACGCTAACTATGTGTAAACAAGTATTTTTATCTTGGTCCAGAGGAAGAAAGAGAGCACTTCTACCATGGGGCTGTAGTAGAGGGTTTTGTGGAACATAGCAAGGGCTCTGAAAACACAACTTTCCCACAGTTTTCCTCGTTAGTAAAAATCCTGTTAATGTGAACCAGCCAGGAATAACAGTGTTATTTCTATGTGATATGGTTTGGGCTACTCTTGTCAAATCTGTGTCTGTGGCCCCCTGATCCTTCTGTTATCAAGTTCTGAAGGGTGTTGGGGAAATGCTGGCAGCTGCTAGGGAGATCAGGGAAACACTGGTGTAACCTCACAGCCTCTCGCCAGTCCTCTTGGCTTGGAAAGGCTTTTTTTCCATATACATTTCTAGAAATATTGCTATACTACCTTAGTATTTCACATTTGTAGTTTAAACAAGCGATTGTCCATCTGTTGCCTCGAGCTACAGTACATGTGTGTTATGAAATATGACAGCATGTTCCGTACCCTGCTTTAGCCATCTGTAGGAAACCAGTAGGCTGAAAAAGATACCTCTGAGAAATGTTCCTCGAGTCCCTTTCCTGAGATTGCTCTTTTGGTGCACTTTCGTGGGAGACAATCAGTGAACAGCATCTATGTGTGCCTTATTTTTAAAGAATCTTTACACTACATAGGAATATTCCACTGAAGCATCTATAACATAAATATTAATCCCTAAATCTCAGAGATATCTTCATCAAAAATGTCCAACAAAATCCAGAGAGGTCTGAACTCTTCATCTTAAACTATGCTAATAGTATTTCTTTTCTCTTTTATGTCTTGGAAGTACCTTATGGATTCCTAAATTGGGGAAAACATTCTTAATGGCCACAAGGTGATGTATCGGATGTTGTTAGTGATTATGTTTGGTCTTACTCTGGTTTTAGTCAGATAATGAAGACAAGACTTCACCTTAGACCTTTAACAGCCATTCAGCATATCTACTTTTTTAAGTTTCCATAGTTTTTTGTTGTTGTTGTTTGTTTGTGTGTTTTTTAATTTAATAGTGGACAGCACAAGTTGAGAATCCTTGTTCTGAGTTATTACAGTGCAACCACGAACATTTCAGGTTAAGTTATTTACTTCACAGATAACTATAATGGAAGTGTTCTCATGAGGCTGTTGCTTGGTTAGCATATAATTTCAAACCTTTAAAAGATGATCTGATTAAAACTGCAACTTAGTGAATTGTTCCTTCTTTTTCTCTCTCCTTTTTTCTTCTGTCCTTCTCTTACCATCTTGCCTCTCTCCTCTCTATCCTGCCTATTAATGCTATCCTGCTTGGGAATCTCATAAATAAATCAATGCATGATAGTCCTTATGATATTATGATCATAATAAGGGAAAAGGGCTACCACAACATATATGTGGCATCCATAAACCCTTTCTTTAAAAGGGCATATATTTCCAGATTGTGTTTATTTGTAAAATGAGATAATAGAGTCTTTGATTTTTATTTTAATGAGCTTTCATCAAGGACTCAGATCGTAGAATTCTTGGTAAATTCATTTATGACTGGCCTTCTTTTCTCAGGTAAATGCAAAGTAATCATTCTAAGACTAGCTTAAGATTCTTTTGTTTTAATCCAAAGCATTTTTGACCAACATAACAATGATATTTATAGTGGTGGCATGTTATTTTATTCCACTGAAACTTGATAATTTTTCTTAAGGCAAGGAAAAACTATTATCCTTCAGGAATTTTTATACATATCAGCATTTTGCCCATGACAATGATATTTAATCTTAATAGTTGAATCACAATATTTTACTTAGGGTAGGTCAGCACCAGAGTTGTTCCTAGAACACATATTACTGGCCTTTAGTCTGTTGATAAAAGCAATCTGAGAACAAGTCTGTGTCTCACATTGAAGTATTTTGTTAAAATTTAGGTCTGAGGTTCTTTGAACTCTGGCTAATCCTGGTAAAAGTATGCCCTCTTATCCTTTTGTTTGTGTGTGTGAAAAAAAAGCTTATAATTCTAGGACTATGTTTCCAATTTTTGTTTTTATCCTCATTTCCATTTTCTACATGTTTTCACAAGGTTGTCATTGATTTTCCTTTTGGGGAGGGTCACCTATGAGGAAAGTAAAACATAATGCATACTTAATTCAATATATAAATGAAATTGCCAAGAAATAATGAGAAGTCCCAGTGAGTATGTGTTGCTAGATAAAATTTTTTTGTTGTTTTGGTTTTGGTTTTGTTTAACTTATTTCCAAGAAAAGAAGGATTCAGGCGGAGAAGGAGGGATTTGAGAGCAGAGGTAGTCTACAATTAAAACTATGGCAACACAGTTCTTACATAGTGTAATTCTGAGAATTTTTATAACTTGTTTTAGGGATCAGCAATCACAGTTGTTTAAGAAGGTAAAATACGTATGTTTTCAAGTTAATGAGGTTTTTAAAAATTACAATGACTACTAATATATGTTTTCCCCTGTCAGAAGAGAGTAAAATGAGAGCTGGTGCTAGGTCCCATGGCATGGCCATCACTACACCAGAAATGTTATACTGCATGACCTCTCATCCCCTCTGAGAGGAGGGCATAGCTCCCCTCTTTCTGAGAGCTGGTGATGCATATTCTGACATATTCTTTGGCAAACTGCTCTACATGCTGAGCATCTCTGTAGGAAGAGATTTCTGTATTCACACAATGTTTTATCCCTTTCCAATGTACTTACCTAGTGAGCACAGTAAGTAGGAGTTTTTCTGTGGTTCTCTTGTTCATATCATCTACTTTCTGTAATGTCTTGCCTAACAACTATACTATAATTGATTCATAGTTGTTGTTTTTTTAGTTGTAAACACAGAAAACTAAATATAAAATAGCATATTTCCCTTCAATAGAGAAAGGAGGGACACTTATTCCTTTCTCTGTTATACTTTCCTGCCCCTTGTGCCAAAAAATTTGTGACTTGATTGTAATTATCCAACATGCAGGTAGCTTATTTTGGGGAAAGTTGTATAGAATATGCATTTTTACTAAACTCAGTGACACCCCCCCTTTGAAGTTACAAGAAATTACTAAACTCTTTGCTCTTTGTTTCTAATTATTTAGTGTACAGCACTCTCTAACCACAATAATAAATATATCTATTTCCATTCGTTGTTATAAATATTCATATTTACAAGTGAAAATGTACACTAAAGAGGAAGAAACCCTATACTAATTCCTCTGTAAAACTTTAAGATGCTTGCATTAGATTCCCCTACTGTATGTCTTTATTAACTTTTCCAAGGTTCCCATCCATTTAGGGGCAAGAGACAACTTCATTTTATCTGATAGACATTATCTAATATATCCAAATGGAGGCCTTATTCAGGATCCACAAATGCTTTCAATCAAGTTGGCACAGAACTTAGCTTCTAATTCAGTTCTCAACCCCAGGAGTAGAATGATCTACCAAGAATGAGACTGGTGTCACTATGCCATCTTATATCCTACACCAGTGCAGAGGGCTATAGCTGACGCCAAATGCCAGTGTTGTTCCTAGACTCTTAAGACCAACATGTCCCTTGGAATCATGACCCTTTAAGTATATAAATTTCCTCTGTTGTTTTTTTGTTTTGTTTTGTTTTGTTTTTCCCTGATATGTCATATCCCACATCTTCTTAGACTACCCACAGCAGTCCATTCTACCCTTAGGGTCACTCTTTTCTACAAAAGTTCTCCCTTATGTTGAACAAAAATCTGGCTCTGGGGCTATGCAAAACAAGTTTAATCTCTAAATCTTTGTCTGTAGGTCAGATATCAATAACTTACAATTTTCTCTCATTTATTGACATGATGTCAGGGCCAATTACCTTTCTGCTTTTCCTCTGAACAGTTGGACCAAAAGATATTTCTTACTTTCTTTTAATATATCCAGTGAAACATAGCAATCAGTTTGGTTCAAGCTAGGTGAAAATACTTTCTTCAGAGTTGAAAGTAAATGGAATTTGAATCACTGAAAGAAAACTGATTCTCAATGTAGAAATTTCCTCCAAGGTCTCAAATCCAGGAAGGAGAATGCTAGATCAGATAGAGCTCCCATGTACAAAACTTGATATATTGTACTGGTTTTTATGTTGCCAAAATCAAAGCCATTCTGAAAACAAGAAGCAAGCTACTTGGTAAATATTCATTAAGTCTCTTCAACCCTTTCCTTTTTTTCCTGTCTTCTCAAAAATAAGGTGTTTCCATACTGAATATGCAAAAGACTCCTGGATACTTTATAGGTTCAACATAAAGATGTACTGTCTGATTTGTTTTGAGATTCACTTCCATTCTCCTGTGTTCCAGTGTTTATACCCAGAGATGTTGCACGTTAGACCAAGTGAGCAGCTTTCCTACATGAGCAATTAGCAACTATCCTTAAGAGTTCATATTCTTTCTTTACATTTTTCCTTACTCATTTCTTTAATTTAATCATCTCTGTAAGAGAATTAGCCCCTAAGTAACTTTGATTCAGGACAACTGCAATAAGATCCAGCAGGTTCCATTGGTACTCCATAGGAAGGAATAGAGTGTCAGATAGAGTCAGGAAGAGTAATTCTCCCCAGTAAGGCTCATGGAGGAGTAAAGAGATCTTGAATTGATGCATTAACTGATTTAGAGTTGAGGGAAGAATAGTCAAGGCACCAGAAACAACAGAGAAGCAGAAGCTACATTCAGAGAAGACCCTCTGCTTTAAGTATCATAGATTCTGGAACTTCCCTAACATGAGAAAAGCCTTCCAGATATTCAGGGTCAATCGGAAGGAAAGGTCATAGAGGAAGCCAAATTCAATTTTTTATTTGCTGTTTTACTTCTTCATAATTGAAAGATAGGATGAGTTGCCAAAATGTACTACAGCTATACAGTTCGAACCGGAAGCTTTAATTATAACATACAAAATGTGTATTCTAACTGATTCATAGCTACATACTTCACTCTTGCAGCAAACATGCCTGTCTTTTGGACCCCCACAAGAGAGTGAGCAAGGCAGCCCTATTTTCCTATGGCTTTTAGGTCCATAATTAGAAAGGACTCCACAACCACCTATTCCATCTAGTGTTAAAAATCCCTTACAGATTCATTGCTGAGTGATAATACAGGCTCTGCTTAAACATCACTTGCGTCCATGAGCTCATCACTTCTTAGGGTCCTCCATTTCCTCTTTTACACTTTGTTCCAAGTTCCCCCCTGACTCTAACAGAACCAGCTTTTGCGGCTTATCTTTTTTCTTGGTGCCACACAAAAGTCATCTTTAGTTTAAAAAAAATGTAGCTTCCTTCCTCCATTTTCATTTAAAATACATATTTTGTTTTTGGCAATATAGTACTTTTTTAAAAAAACAGCTTTGAATCTCAGCTGAAGCTTATAAAAATATTTAAACATTCTTAAAAATAGTGAAGGATCCTATGAGGGTCAGGCTTAGAGGTCATGAGTGTTTTATTGTGTTCTTTACTTCTTTATTCGAAAGACAAACTTTCCTGTCAATTGTTATATAGCTGTACGGATTTGCCCAGAAACTGTCCCATGAACAGCACACTCTAGGTGTCTGGCCTTAAACTGTTGGGAAATGTCAGCGTGATCTTCACTTTTAACACGGGAGAAGTCAAAAGCAAAAGACAGTGGTTCTGTAAAACCTCATTTCTTCTAGCCAGTCCTGTGCAAAAGAATGATTATTCTGTTATGGTTTTATGTAGAAAGGTATAAGTTCTTTTATTATTGCGCTGGGTTGCTATTTAGTTTCAATAGCATTTTTTGGTCTATGGGAGGACGAGGCTTGCGGCTCCTTCCAGCCCAGTTTTGAATTAGAGAGCCCTGTCGGCAGAACCTGTCATCAGTCTCCTGGGCAGGACCTGGGGGTGGCATTCTGAGGTTTAAAATAATAATTCCTAAGAGAGCTTACAAACTTCTTTTGCACATAAAACAGCCCTGGGAGGAAGGTTATTAATAGCCCTATCCTAGAAGAGAAAGCTGAGGCTCAGAATTGTTCAGTGACTTGCCAAGAGCGATGCAGCTGGTAAATGGCAAATTTTGGGATGAACGCTAGGCTTGCAAGTCCGGTGTTCTCTTCAGTGGCCACTCTCATGGCACAAAGTGCCAGGGCACAGTGTATACTTCTCACAGGCTAAAGTACTTCCTGTCCTAGGGCATCCAAGGAGATTCACATAAACCATTTAGCTCCCAGGTGGCAAATGCATTTGTGCACTGTAGGAGACCACTTAGAGCTAGCATATTGTGTCATCTTGTGGGAAATGACTGTGATGGAGACAGTGAACAAAGGCCACCGTGAAGAACAAACAACTATGGCATGGAAGCACACTGCACAAATTTCCCCAGAGATGGTTGGTTTACTTTACATTAACTGAAAAGCTCTTGGGGACTATGAGGTTCAGAACATCAGCCGAGTTCCTATAGTTTAGAATTCAGGGGAGTGCACAAGTGACTTGATCCTTAAGACAAGTGTCTCTCCTGTGGGCTACAATGTGTGCCCCACAGAGGGAAAAACTGCTGAAGGTAAACAATGCATATCATTCTCTCCCAGGCATTTCCAAACCAGACAAGCAGCCCATGACCTTCAAACGTCTGTGAACAAATACGATGGGACTGATTGTGATCCTGAGATTTGGCCTTTGCTGTGGGTAGACCGGACTTCAAGGGCTGTTGTAATGTTGTGACTTGTGCATGCTGTCACAGGGATCTGGTACTGTGTTTCCAGGATGCTCACTGGGAAGCCTCTGTGTTGTTCTGGAAGCTGTCCTACATGGCAGTTCAACAACTGGCCGTCCTTCTTGATCTGCATCCCTCAGGAAGCTGTGCCTTTTAATGTCTGCTCTTGGGTTTTTATTTCATCCCATTTCTCTCTTAGAGTTGTTTGGCTTTCGGTTAAAATCTGTGACTCTGATTGAAAGATATTCCTTTTCATCTGAGTTGAATCTACTGCAGGAAACCTTTAAAATGATCTTGTCTAATAAGCTTTCCAGACATTTTCCCTCCCTCGAGTCTGCCATCCTTCAAGCAGGCATCATCATCTGTCTGCTTATTCCTAGGGATTAACGAAGCCAAGCTACATAAGCTCTTTCCACTCTTCACACCTGGGAACTACAGGCGGGGCCTGCCAGGGCAACAGAGTAGTAACCTGGGCTGAGATGGCAACATTTAGAGTTTGGGAAGGTGCCTGATGGGTTGGAAAACAGTTCTTGTAAAGTAGACGGAGCACCCCCACCCAGGGGTAGATTAATAGAAAAAGCATTTTGAGAACTTTGCAGAATTATCTAGGTGAGTACACCTGAGAAGAGACTCTTTTGGGTGGAACCTGTGACATGTTCTTAGACGACATAACAGGACAGTGAGGCAGTGAATATGAAAAAGAAGCCCTTTAAAAATATAAAAGGAGCCACAGCCTCTGATTTATCTTTCTGTAATGTAAAGAAAATTATTAATAAAAAATTCTCTTCCTCCATTCTACACACTACAGTCCCCTGTATTTAGTAAAAATACAATTGTGTTCTCTTTAAAACACACACCCTTGCTCGTGCATGAACACACACACACACACACACACACACACACACACACACACACAAACATCTTCCAAGAAAGCTGATCCTTCAAAATAGAAATCTTATTTTCAAACACTTGGGTTTTTAGGCCAGAAAATTAATAATTCCTAGACCTGACCCATTTTTTGTGTGTGTGTGTGGCTGCCAACAAGGAAAAGGAAAATTTATTTAAATTTTGTATGGATCCAATTATCTCTTAAAATATTCCAAAGCAATTTGAGATGGGGCTGGAAACTAAGGTATTTCTCTCTTGCTTGATTCACTTTTTATATTTTTATCTGTTGGGAAATGGTAAGGCACTATTCCTGGGCAATTACTATGTTGCCACTTTGTACAGTATCTGCTTTGCTTTGCACTGAGGCATAGGATTAATAGTTGCTTTCCTGACTCCATTTCCCCCGTCAAGAGAGAGTAAATATTAAGCCTGTATGTCTTCCCCACCAAATTATTTAACTCTGTTTCTGAACTAGTTTAGAAAATGTGAAATAAGGAGAACTAGTTTTTCTTAGATACCTTTCTCCTTTCTTTTTTTTTCCAGTTTCTTCCAATTTCTTTTTCTCTTTGGGTGACAGTTGATGATCACTTAGTAATGATAATAAACCAGAAGTAGAAGAATAGCAAAGCCAGGTTAGGATGAATTTGCCAATGTGTTTCACTCCTTTGAGATGAAAAGGGGTTTTACAATTTAAATACCAACAATAGGAATGACCTCATATTTTAACTCTCAAGTAGTAAAAGACAAATTGATATGTGGGCAGTGTCTACATTTTACTAATTATGTATATTCTCTGCTTAGTTTTTAGATGAATATCAAGTACATCAACGTTTGAGGGTGAAATTGACAAAAAAAAAGAGTTAAAATGCTTTCCACCTTCCTCACAAGGTAGCAAATTGAAACTGGTATAGACGGTGCCAGCCTCTAATTCAAGAGAGGTATATCCTTGATGAGAGAAATTTTGAAACTATATCTTGTCACCATAGTTTATTATGAAGTAATTGCAAAATAATTTTTAAACTACTTTCTTATACTACCCATTTATTCTCCTGGGAAAGCTGATGAACAAATTATCCAAAAATTATTTTCTTATTAAACAAAGTCAGAATATTTTCCCCTAAAAATCTGAATTATGCCCTCATTCTTTTTCAGGAAACATATCAAAGAGCAAATGGAATTAAAGATAATACTAGATTGTCTGATTCTTTAACATGAATAAGATTATCATGTGATTTGATGTGCCTGAAGTGAAAACTTAGATGCAAAATGTTCACAGCTGACTGTAGCACTGAGCTTTTACCATGTCTTCTATGCAATTATTTACTTCGACTTCTGTTTGGTTTTGTTTTTGCAACTTCACCTTTTCATTAGTGTCATAGATTTGGGCTCTCTCTCTCTAGTGGGAAAATGTGCAATTATGATACGCATCCAAAAAAGGAAGGGAAAAACTTTCTAAGTAGCAACGCTGTGACATGAAGCAGACGCCACATGAAGACGCAGAGCCCAAGGACAGTCATTTTCCCTGAGCCGCACACGCACGCTTTTCTTTCATGGCTCTGTCACAGGCTTTTCTCCTTCTGTGCTGTCACCTTTGAGAAAAATGATTGCACCTTCTCCAAGTCTGCCTTTTAACAGCTACAGTGGAGTTGGCAAGACTTCCCCTAGCTCTGAATATAGCCATTTGCCGACTCCGGCCTCTGCGAGACTGACTCAAATCTGTGATCTTCTGTTCAGCATACACATCAGCAAAGTGAGAAGATGAGCCCTAAATATAGGCTCTATTAACTTTACTTTTAGATTTACTGCCTTCAAAAAGTGCCTATTCTGAGAAATATAAACATTATTCCTCCGTATGTATGAATACACACGATACCCAGAGCCCTACTGTGCAGCCTCAAAAACATACCATCCGCAACAGTAGGTGCTGAGATAAGGAAACCTTACCGAATGGAAGAAAGTCACTCATTTCCAACATCCCCTCACGAGTGGCACCGTGAAATGGGCTGCAAACACATCCCCTGAGAATTCCGTGCTGATACAGCCACTTTATATTTATATCCTCCTGGATGCTGGCTTATTGCTGAGGTTTCTTATA